CGTGTGTGTAAGATTCCCACCTTCAGGTCAACAAAGTCAGATTCCGCCGACAGTCTTATTCCCGCCTGCTGTACTAAATATGACACGTCGGATGTCAACATGATGCGTGATGCCACTCTATGTTATGTCAGTTTAGTAACGTTTCTTTTGTTTGTCAGTTTACATCGAAGGTGATGCTATTTAACTCCGTCATCCACAATCTTCGTAATTGGAAAGGACATTCCCCACAGTAGCAGTGAGTACAAACATGTCAAGTAGACCAGTTTTCTGTCAATTTGGAGAAAACGTCACGCTTGGTTTTGCCACAAATGGTGTTGTTAAACATGGACCCTTTTAAGAAGAAAAAAAATCTTAGACCCTAAAATAGAAGAAGAAAAACATGACTCTACCCCCAAAACCCACCCTCTCACCTAAATATCAAATGGTAAGACATTGTCTTAGCAGCCTACATGGCACATGCCAACAACAAATATATATATAAGCATGTGACGGTGTTCAGCCATGCCATGTCACTTGCTACGGCACACCTATGTGACGACAACCTCATGACTAACCACATGCCTTCATTACCTACCTTTCAGCCATTGACAGATGCCATCTTTTACTAAAAAACTCAATTTGTGCCTCATGTTGAATTCTCAGTGTTGAAATAGAAATGGATTTGTGATACAACAAATAGAACTGTTATGAATGAAAGCAAATGAGAAAACATGCTAAAACATTTAGTTTACCACAGTAGACGTTTTGTTCAGGACCTACTTGACCACTGATACTCAAGGTCATCTTCTTACATGAAGGGTTACATTGGATCACATTGAAGTTACCCTAATTAACACAATGAGCTATCTGCTACAAACAGTCCGGTAGTCACTTTCTCATTTCATGGAAGTAGTAAGATCTTTCACCTTGATCAAAGGAAACAGACTAGGTCGTCTTTAATTGGAACCTAATGCCGCCCATACTTAAAAACAACATTAATCCTGAATGTTTAAATACATGAAATGCAGTATTTAGTTAAAAAACTTCTCTTAACCAACATTTTGTGATGTTTTTGAACATTGGTGACTTGTCAGTAGCTAGTAAGTTGTCTATCATTATCATTGCTAAGTTTATTCTGACCAAATCGTGTGTGTCTTAGTATTTGATGTCATCTTTCAGATCTTCACACCTCCATAGTAACTCAACACGAGGTAAATACCTCACTGGGTGAACGTGTGCTTGTAATCTCAGAGAGGTGAAGAGTGTCTTTGCTTGCAGACAGTAGTAGTAATGTCGTAGGACAAGAGTCATCATTATTTATTTTCCATTTTATTCTTATGACTGAGTTTGTATTTATGTTAGGTTTTAAATGCCTATTGTGCAGATCTGTTCTCAAATTAAACCGATGCAATAATTCTTGAGTGTTTTGTCATTTCAAAGAAGACTAAAGAGGCTTTTCGTACTGGCACTACCCACTTCCATGTTCCCGTAAGTTGGCCGAATGAGGTTTCCAGGGCAGAATGGATCGGAAGTATCCTGAGCTTGTCAAAAGAGCAGACCAATGAGGATTGGATGGTTACAAAGTGTGATGGTGCATCATCCTGCCCCAACTGCATGGATCATTGTTTGGTCCAGATTCCTCATTTAAAGAGGGGCGGTCGGGTAGCCTAATGGTTAAAGCATTCGCTCATCACACCAAAGACCCGGGTTCGATTCCCGACATGGGTACAATGTGTGAAGCCCATTTATGGTGTCCCCGCCGTGATATTGCTTGAATATTGCTAAAACCGGCGTAAAACAATACTCACTCACCTTATTTACAGTTTGTCATGCATGATACAGCTGAAGTATTGCTAATTTACTCACATGCAACATTTATTTATTATACACTTGATGAGGCCTATCAGACTGTGTTATTATCTACAACAGAGTTGCATCCCTTAGTTATTCAATGATCTGCTGACCATTTGTTTGAATGTCCTTTTTGCCCTGATACCAACCCTGGGTTTGTCAGTTCATGGTTCCATCAAAGTGGCAGTCATTTCACTTCCCGCGCAAGCTGGTAAAGCATATCACTGAAATAATTTTTAATTCACTGAAATGAAATATTCCATTAGGTTTAAATATATATCTTTTCATGTTTATAAAAAGACACCTTTCAGAAATCTGTTAAAAACTGAAGAAACTATACAATAATTATGGGAAATTAATTAATTAATTTCTATGTCATATGTATATAATGCATCATTGTGATTCCTCGTTATAATAGGTCACATGTAATAGTTGTAGCTGACATGGTGGATTGGGTAGTGGGACGTTGTGACTCTTAATGGCGTGTCAATGTACGTGATAGCTTGGATTGTTGCTCACAATATCAATCACTTGATCGTTTGGTCCAGACTCGACATTTACAGGCTGTTAGAATATTGCTGCGTGCGGTACAAACTGTATAAACTGAGTTTTTTTAATGTAATGTTCTGCTGTTTCAGTGGAATATGCCCAAATCTGTAACACCTACATGTGGAGTTCCTTGTAGATGAAATTGTGTGTCAGCTCTCTCTTTTCTTCGACCACTGCTGTGGTCTTGTGGTAGAGCGTCCAGCGTAGAAGTTCAGGGTTCCCGGCCGCGTCATACCAAAAGACGTAACAAGATGGTACTTGTTGTTACCCTGTCTGGCGCTCGGCAATAAGGGGCTAAACAAGGACTTGTCGGCTTAGAGTCAGTGTGCTGTGTCGGAGTCGGAGGGTATTCATGTTAAACTGCAGCATCGTATCTCAGTGGGCTAGCACTATAAATTGGCATCAGTCCAGACTAGTACAAGCAGCCACAAATAAACACATCGCTATATAAGTGCAATAATCTTGAACACCATGTTAATTCCCATGTCACCTCACCTCTCTTCTCTTCAAAAAGGACCCCTGAAGATCCGGGTTAGAATAGGTTTCAGCAACCCATGCTTGCTGAAACGGGCGAGTTTGCTTCATCAGGTGGTCAGGCTTGCTGACTTTGATGCATGGCATTGTATCTCCATTGTGTAGATAGATGCTCATGATTCCAATCACAGGGTAGTCTGGTACAGACTCGATTATTTACAGTCTGTCGTCAGAAAGCAGGAAAATTGCTGAATGCGGCGTTAAACAAACAAGCAAACAAATCTGTCAACAACAACATGTGTCCTTTTGGTGTCTCCATTTAACATGGTAAAGGAAACCCATTATGACCATGGACACAGCAGGTAAATGTACAACTGGCAAATGAATGGCAAGGGAATGAAGCACAACTTGGCTACCTTCTATTTGAACTGACATATCTGTTTTTGTTTTTATTATATTATTTATTTATAAACAGACGACACTGATTTACACAACTACTGATGACTGGTTGCAACTTCACCATTATAATGATTAATCGATTAATGATTAAATAATAATGTATTCACATTCCAATTGTTGCTGTTACTAATGGTTTCAAAGGGATAAAGACCGCCTCCTGGTCTAGTAGAGCATCCGCCCAGAGAGCAGAAGGTGGTGGGCCCTGTCATACCTAACAACGTTAAAGTGGTACTTGTTGTTACCCTGTCTGGCGCTCGGCATTAAGGGGCTAAAACAAGGACTGGTCGGCTCGGAGTCGGTATACTGTGTCTGAGTGGGGTATTCATGTCAAACTGCAGCATGGTATCTCAGTTGGCAAGCACTATAAATCGGCATCAGTCCGGACTAGTACAAGCAGCCACACACACACACGTGCATGCATGTCGCTGTATTTGTGCAATAATCTTGGACGCGAATTAAACCACATTATACCTCACCTCACCTCATAGGGATTCATGTTATGTTTGTTTGCATGGCACTGTAATCTTTACAATCTCCGAAATTATATCTAAGCCAATGTATTTCTTAGTCATACTACAAGTAAGTACATGATTATGAACAATGTAAAATACATCAATAAGATATAAAAGAAAGACACCAATATACTTTGAGATATTCACCAGATTTAATTTGAAACAAACATTTTTTGCGCTGGTCAGTATTTTATATACCTCACTAAATAAATATTGACTATATAGATAAAATTAAATATGTGGTCTCAATATCTACATGTCACACATGTACATATACAATTACCTGGGTAGAATAGGTCATTAGCAACCCATGCTTGCCGTAAAAAGCGACTATGCTTGTCGTAAAAGGCAACTAACGGGATCGGGTGGTCAGGCTCGCTAACTTGGTTGATGCATGTCATCGATCCCAATTGCGTGGATCGATGCTTATGATGTCAATCACTGGATTGTCTGGTCCAGGCTTGATTATTTACAGACCGCCGTCATATAGCTGGAATATTGGAGTGCGGCGTTAAACAACAAACAAACACACAAACAAAACAAACATATACAATTACATATATACGTGACTAGGTACAGAACACCACTAGGATCCCTGTATAAAGTACATCACAGTGGAATACTCATTTCTTGTTTGTTAAACATTTTGCCAGCATCAGACATGGAGGTTGACTTTCATTTTCTGTGGCAGTTTAGTTTCCACAACTACATCAACAATCTCATCTAAACAACATAATGTGTGGTTTGGAAATAATTATATTATAGCGTTAAATCAATATAGGCTGAAGAAATCTGTTTGAAGCAACTTTATTTTTACATTTGGTCTGTGCTCATTTTTGTCTGGGCATAATTTCAGCAACTACAGCAATAATTTCATCATAACAAAAGTCATGTGGGGATTTAGAACACTAATTTTATAGTATTAAATCAATATAAGCAGAAGAAATCTTGTTTTGAAAGAAAACATTTTGTCTGTGCACTCACTTCTGTTTCACTTCATATTTCAGTAAGTTGTTGCTGTGGCATAATATCAGCAACTACAGCAATAATTTCATCATAACAATAGTCATGTGGGGATTTATAACACTATTTTTATAGTATTAAATCAATATAAGCAGAAAAAAATCTTGTTTTGAAAGAATTTTTACATTCTGTCTGTGCACAGTTCTGTTTGACATCACATTTCAGAAAGTTGTTGCTGTGGCATAATTTCAGCAACTACAGCAATAATTTCATCACAACAATATTTGTGTGAGTATTTAAAACAATTGTTTTATCATAATAAATCAATATTAGCAGAAAATCATGTTTTGAAACAATTTTTACATTTTGTCTATACACTCACTTCTGTTTGACATCACATTTCAGAAATTTGTTGCTGTGGCATAATTTCAGCAACTACAGCAATAATTTCATCACAACAATATTTGTGTGAGTATTTAAAACAATTGTTTTATCATAATAAATCAATATTAGCAGAAGAAATCATGTTTTGAAACAATTTTTACATTTTGTCTATACACTCACTTCTGTTTCACATCACATTTCAGAAAGTTGTTGCTGTGGCATAATTTCAGCAACTACAGCAATAACTTCAGCACAACAATATTACTGTGAGTATTTAAAATAATTCCCAACTCCAGGAGAAACCAGGAAAGAAGTGAAACCAGACATGTGAAGAACTTGGTTGTATTTTGTACACAACAAACAGAACACAAACCGAACACTTCTATGTCCGCTTCACTCACTTTCCCCGTCTGTCATCGAAACAGTTGATAGAAATCTCTCAGTTACACGGATAACTTTACAGAACCAGTTTATTTCCTATCTCAGTGCTCGGTAGACGAGGGCCCTCTTGGTGTCTGTCATGTCGACGTCCTCCCCGCTGATCAGACTCATGGACCTAGTGTTGACAAATGGCGACCACCCAACACTAAACACGGGGACAAGAGGTTCCCGGAACACCTCATCAAACTTGACAAGAACAATCCCCCTGTCCAAGTCAATGAAGGCCACTCTCCCCCTCCCCACATCCAGCACCACGCCATAGTGGAGGGTGGCCTGTGTGCCGGGAGTGCGGGACATGGTGTTCTGGTGACACACGCCCTGCTCCCCCTCCCGACACACCCTGGTACAGAGACCCTCCCTGTGTATGCCACATCTCTCTACACTGACACCCCAGGAGCGACGTTGTTCAGAAACCCACCGCTCACTGTCCACCTGTCCTGCCTCCACAACCCCCATCTCGAGGACTGGCCGCCACACTGGCCCCACCATCCGCACCCTGGTCTTTGTCTCCCAGTATGTAGGTGTGGTGGGGAGCGGGGTGAGGGTGGAGGTGGGTGGAGGAAGGGGGATGGGGGAGCTACAGGTCCCCGCGTACTCCTGTAGCCTGTTCTGTCCCTCATCCCGTATGTCGGGTGACGATTCGGCCAGCTCACCGTCTGTAGTTACGTGGCAGCAGAGTGTGTTGGTCCGAGCCGCGTCTAGGTGAAGTTTAGGACCTGGAAATAAACATTGTATTTGTTGTGTAGCAAGTTTATTTCACTGTTTGTTACAAACTGAGACACAGAAAGAGATTTACTGAAAATATCGGCTGATTGTTGGCTTGTTTCCAAACAGCGTGCTGAATGTTCGTCTCTGTTTTTCATCAGTACAGAATATCTCCCACAACTGCGCTATATTAGCGCGCTAATTACAAAGTAAAACTATTACCACGAGAATTCAAAATGCATTTCATAAAGAAACAAATAGAATAATTCACAGAAAAAGGCAATATAAAAGAATTTTTGATACATTTTTTATTTACTCCCATTGTGCAGATATCCAGACGTGGACGATGTTCGTGTATGAAATACGATCTCAGTGAGTGATTTTTTCAACAAAAGTGTTTGTGTGTGGATTCTATATGAATCTTTTACGAAAGAAGAAACAAATAAACCACAAAATTCCATGTTTTAGACATATTTTTGACATTTTTGTGTTCATCACACACCGCATGAACAGGTATATTCTATGTCCGTTTCAGTCACTTTCACCATTACACCGTCACAGTCTGTGTGTCGCGGAATGTTCACAAGCGCTGGTCAGTGATTGATGTCGCAAGTCCGTCAACAACGTCAGCTTTCTGAGTTATTCCAGTGTAGAATGAATAAGATTCATGATTGTATAATTATACTTACACAAGAATTGGTATAGAGATTCAGTCAAAGCTGACAAAAGCCTATTGCAATAAAGAAGGGGTGTGTTGTTTAAGGCCGCACACAAAGCCACAATATTACCACTAGATGGCGGCGGTCTGTAAATAATGATGACATGCAACAATCATGTTAGAGAGCCTGACTCCCCGATCCCGTTAGTCACCTCTTACGACACCGCCAGTTAGGTTAGGGGGAACTGTACACTTGTCACACATCGACAGGACACAGGTACACACTTGTTGATATTTATTGGCAACACTCGAAACGAACCGCGAAACCCAAGCGAGCCTCCCAAGACAGGCGAGCTACCAAGGGGAGCTAACTCTGCTTACATTTATACATGCCAAGCAAACCTGCGTTGGCGTGACTGTCTTTTTTTCTTCATGATAAAAGTTATCTTAACAAACCATAATAAAGGAAATAGGCGTGAAAAACAACTTGGTGAGTAAACAATGATGTAATAAAGATCCAATTTCTGGTTAACCAAGAAACCAATTGGTAAGTAAACCATCATAGGGTAGACTGCCCTCTGGTCGATGGGGATTATTCTGCCCCTCACAAACATAACATTTAATAAACCAACAATACTTCAAAAGTCCAAAACGTATTCATCAAATCGCTTTGGTCGTTGAGGTTGACGCGATGGCCTTGAAGTTGAAGATGACTGTATACCTGGGTCAAATAGGGGGTCAGATTGATCCGACGCAGAACTGATGTCGGTTGGGTGATTGTCATCAAACACAGCATCCTCAGGCAGTGGCAGAGGAGGAGTAGATATTTCTAGAGGAATGTGCGGAGTCTCCGGTGTCTGGTGAAGAGTCTCAGGTGGGTCATCATCGATGTCAGATGTGTCCTCACTGTTCGCTTCATGCACATGTGTCTTGTTCCAAAGGGGGACTTTAAAACATTCTGAGAGCTTAACTCTGTATGAAGTGTTCCGCAGTTGGGTCCAAACGAACTTGCGGACATTGCACCAGAGGCCATCTTTGGCGACTACTAGGTAACGATTCCGTGCACATGTTTTATTGCAATCGTTATGAAGGTACACCAGGTCACCAATCTCAATTTGATCAATTACAGGTCGATGACTCCGAGGAGCCTTGGATTTTTCACTGTGACCGTGGTTTTTTTGGCGATTAACATGTTGCTCTGTGATCAACTGCTTGTCGGACAGAGGCAACTGACAGTTTGTGAATTGGTCTCTCTGGGTCCACATCTCTCGAGAAGACAGGCCTCGTGAACGAATGCGTGTGTTTAGGCGGGCGACAGCGATGGCAAGAACTGTTGGTGTAGTGGGGTCTTGGCGCACAAGCTCGTCCTCTAATTCTTGTATGGCCTTTTCAGCAACTGGGTTCTTGTTCACATTCTTCACTCTGCCTATTTCTAGGGTAATTCTATGTTGCTGGAGACGTTCATCTGTGACTAGACTGATAAAGCCTGGAGCTGGGTCAGTGCGGATAACAGCGTGAGGACCATCAAGTGGACGGAATTCAATGCAAAGATGAATCAATGGAGCCACGCTCATCGGTAATGATGCACGCCGCAGTGTAGGATGTGACACATTCACGTAGAACGAGGATGAGTTGTTGTTCCCTGCGCATAACATCTGACGCAAATGCAAACCCAACAGTTTCAGGTGGATCACTGGTGCTTTGGTCTACAACAACATGAGGTGTCTTACGCAAGGAGGCGCACCGGTGACAAGATTTTGAAACACTGTTTATGGATCTGTCAAGGTCTAAAGCAAAGAAGTATCTATGGCATACTTGCTTGAGTTGGTGTGCAGATGGGTGATCCAGTTGTATGTGTAGGGCAGTCAGGACTCCGTCTAATACTTGTCTTGGGACAACAATGCACTCTCTTGGTGAACCGTGTGGCTCAGATTTTCGAACAACAAGCAATCCATCTTTGGAAATGGTTGCTGCATTTAGGTATCGTTTGACATCCCTGATGTTTGTTACCTTCTTGGATGGTCGGGTACCTTGGAGAAGATGAGCATGTGTTCGTCGAAGGTCCTGGCACTCCTCTTGCAAGGAACGCCAAGCAGACCTGCTTGTGAAAGGAAGGCGGGTAGTTCCATTCATGATGTCCTCTATAGACAGTTGTCGAACAACAGAGCTTTCAGTGCGCTCAATGAAGGAGCAGATTTGGCAAGAGGGATTGTCACATTCTGGTGCATTTCTGCTTGCAAAATCGGATGGCACATTTGCAGAACCAGCGAGGTGTTGTATCGTTGCTTGGTAGCGGCTAACTGTCGATAAGAAGGTAGACACCTGAGGACTAGCAGAATACTCCCCATGGCAGAACTTCTCAAATGCCAAAACACATGGTCTACTGTCGGTAAGGATACATGTTTTGTGTTTTGACTGGATAATGAAAGGACTGAAATGCTTGGTAGCGATAGCAATAGAAAGGGGCTTCCACTTCACATGGTAACCATGCGACCTGTTGTCGCCGAAGCTTGGCACTGAAGAATCCTGCTAGTCGTGGCGAGTCACTACGTGTTACATAGAGTGTTGCTCCAATTCCTGGCTTCCTGACAAGCACCATCAGTTACAATCAAGAGTTGGTCATCGGGGTGGGGCAGTACTATGGATTTGTTGGATGCGAGACCAGTCTGTGCTGTTTTGAAGGCATCGAGCAAAGAGTCAGACCACAGAAGCTTTTCACTGGACTGGCGACCGCCCACTTCAGCATCAAGTGGGGCAAGGAGTGTGGAACAACCAGGTATTACACAGGACAAGACCTTGTAAGCTCCTATAAATGACCATAAGCCAGTCACTGTTTCCGGAGGTGAACAAGAAGCCAGAGTTGATATGCGGTGTTGACTTGCCTGAGTGGATCCTTGGTGCCATTGCCATCCTAGGATGGTTGTTGTCCTGGGAGCAATGACTGTCTTGTTAGGAGATAATCTGAGATTGTTGTGTTTGAGTGCTTCAAGTACGCGTCTCCAATGACGAAGTAACTCATCCGGGCTATCAGCACCACAATAAAGGTCGTCCGCAAGCTTAGCAATCACCCCTTCCTCTAAAAGATCCCCTAGTATGCGGCACATGAGCTCCTCCAACGCAGTTTCAGAGCCCGGCATTCCCATTGCAGACCTCGCATATACTCTCACACCACGGAACGGGGTCACTACACCGCAGTATTTCATCGATTCCTTGGACAGAGGAATCTGATAAAAGGCATTGGTTAAATCTGTGGTTATAATGTACTTCCACTTGGCAATCTGTCTTAGAGTAGAATCGACATCAGGCATTAGGGAAGGTTGTGGCTTACTGTATCGTCCTACATCAGAGAAGGAGGTCACCAATCTGTAACCACCACTGGACTTCTTGATAAGGAAAGGGTTGAGGTATTCTACTTGGATACCTACATCTTCAGGTCGTACAAATACACCGATCCGCTCAAGTTCATCGAACTTTTGTTGGAGCTCAGACAGTTTATCTCGTGAGTATTGCGGGACACGACCCTTCCGTTGTGGAGGTTGTACAGGTCCCATGTTAACAAATGCTTGAAAGGGGCCTGAAGCACCATTATAGCCATCGATATGTTGGTTAAACACATCGTCGAACTCCGTAAGTAGTAACTCATACTGAGATTTGGTATCTTGCGGGAGGATATTGTCTGGGTCTACACAAACAGTGGATGAGAAACCAATGTCCTTAATTTGAGGGGACATAGTTGGTGGTAGCAGATGTGCCGGCTCAACATCATCATCAGGGTCGCAGTCAGATATAAAAACTGGGCGAATCTGGCAAAAGTGCTCATGTTTCTTGAGCATTTGTGGAGTGTCAGACAGATTCGGGATCCTGATTTTGCCTGAGACGCTTGAGATAATTCCTAATTCTGGCCAAGTTGATGACAAGGTAGAGTGTCCAGGTCTGGTATCTATGCGGGGTTCTATGGCAAATGTGAAATCCGCAGGAGCAAAGCTTTCAGGAACCGGCACCTCAATAAAGTCTCCAAGCCATATGGTAGTAGAAGTGTCTGGGGCTCAGAGTACACAAGCTCGTCTCACAGTACACAAGCTCGTCTCACAGTATGTTTGTCACCAGTTGTTTCTGTAGAACCGTATGTGTATGTCGTACCATCACCCAGTATGATCTGATGTTTTGCAGGGCGTACTGCCACATCGTTGGCCTCCAAAAATGGTATGCCTGCAAGGACTTCTACATCCAGGTTTTCCACCACAAGACCATTAAAATCGAACTCCTTGTTGTCGCGTGTGAAAAGGATTCTTGTCTCTCCAACGACCTTCAGTGGGGAAGAGCCATCTGCCTGATGGACTGACTGAGAGCTAGTCTTGATGTCAGCGCCGAAGCCTGTTGCTGTTGAGAGGCGGATCATATTACCAGTAGCTCCACTATCTACAGTGACTCATGCTGTCTGGTGGCCACAGAAACAGTACATATAGGGCGACTGACGGACTTGCACACGAAGAGTGGAGACAGGTTCAGTAGATGGCACTGCACACACATTTTCAACTGTATCCCTAGCATCGTCAGCAGGGTCATCAAGTATACTGGCAATTTGTCTTGCTTTGACCATGTATCTCCTGTCATGATCTGGAAGGAACTTACACTCGCTGAGATAATGAACATGATCGCTGCGTCCTGCAGCTTTACACAGTGGACATGATTTTGGAAACTTTCTACCCGTTTGTTGTGCTTTAGCAAAACGTGAGAATGACGAGTGCTGTTGTGAAGTGTTTGTCCTCATAACCTTAGCATCCTCTGCTGTGCGGATTTCATCTAAAAGTTAATCGAGAGCCTGCGAGATTTCAGGTTTCAAAGAGGAAATTGTTCGTGAGCGAAGATCTGTCCGATAACGTTGTTTGACGAGCTTTGGAAGTTCAACGTGTATTAGCCTCAGCCATGTGAGCACAACAAAATTTTCTAACGATGGTGACAATTCCTCGTCCTCTTCAGGTGCATTGCCATGGTGGGTTATTCCCCCTTCACGGGGGAGTAAATTGTCCTCCACAAAAGCCATTAATCTCTGATACAAATCTTCTGGTCTCTCGTCATTTTCAAGTTTGATTTCGGCAAAGTCAATGAAATGAGCGCCAATTGCTTGGAACCCGAAATGTAGGCGTATGGCATGCCATATGGCATCTACAGACGTTAGGGATTTTAGTATGGTGTTTCTGTGAAATTATCGGACAATAACTGGCAATCTGGCCGAGCATGAGCTCCAAACTGCTAACCTTTTGTCTTGCAGTTCTTCTAATAGCTTCACGGACGTCTTCCCCGTCGTCAGTCATGCCCCTGAGTGGCGTGGCCCTAGTTTTCTTATGCCAGACTGCCCCGTCGGCAAGAAATGGCGTAATATTTGTGTCCAAAGATAATGTAAACAGGAGATTTTGCCTCCAGTTCTCGAAAGAATTGACAGTCTCAATCTTACCGAGGCACCATTGCTTCGGGGCACGTTGAGAGTTGGCCATGACAGTCTTGTTTACTCTGCGTTATCCAGGCACTCTACCGCCTGACCTGTTGGTCACGTTCGGTGAAAGTATGCAAGTACTACAGTTCGTTGTGCCGCCTGCTTCGTTAGACGTGAGTTCAAACCCGCTGCCACCACGCCAGTTAGGTTAGGGGGAACTGTACACTTGTCACACATCGACAGGACACAGGTAAACACTTGATGATATTTATTGGCAACACTCGAAACGAACCGCGAAACCCAAGCGAGCCTCCCAAGACAGGCGAGCTACCAAGGGGAGCTAACTCTGCTTACATTAATACATGCCAAGCAAACCTGCGTTGGCGCACGCATTGTCGCCTCTGACGACGAGCATGGGTTGCGGAAGACCTATTCTAATCCGGATCTTCACTGGTGTAAAGGTTAAGCATATTTAATTATAACACCTTTGTGACATGGTTTTAAATTCTCCATAATTTCAGGAATGGATCACTGGTAGTGTGAAATTGATAATATTTTTTTCAGATATTTGATTGATCTTTCAGGCAAAAAGATGATGTAATACTTTTGTCTTATCTGTAACAAATGTCATGTTAAAGTAATTGAACAACCTTTGATTGAGAACATATATACATATTTGTTCAGGGTTATATCGTTCTTACAATATCCATCAGTATGTCCTAAAATAATGTGCGATTGATAAAATACTGGTTTAGGGTCCAACACTTTTTAAAGAGCCTTGTACAATGCACTGTACAGATCAACTTGGGACAGAAAGATAATTTTTCTCACTCACTGAAAGAATTTATCATGCATTCAAATTGCTTCTTTATACATTACCGAACGTTCACAAGTTACAAGTCAAGAATATTTGTAATTCCCCCCCCCCCCCCCTGGAATACAGTTGGAAACTTTTGTTTTTAGGAAAGTTGTTGGCTAATATTGTACGTCCGTTTCGGTCATTACAAAGAATACCACAAGAAAAAGAAATCCGCCTGGAGCGGAGTAGTCAGTTGACCAAAAAAACCCTCCAAGGCTTACACCCCCGATAGATTAGAGTAGAAATATTACACTTTGAGTGTGAACACAAAGCTCTCACTCAGGAATTAAAACACCAGCTACGCCGCACGACTGTTAAAGTTGGTTGTTTGTTTGTTGTTTAACGCCGAGCTCAGCAATATTCCAGCTATATGATGGCGGTCTGTAAATAATCGAGTCTGGACCAGACAATCTAGTGATTGATATCATGAGCATCGATCCACGCAATTGGGATCGATGACATGCATCAACCAAGTCAGCGAGCCTGACCACCCGATCCCGTTTGTCGCCTCTTACGAGGCATAGTCGCCCTTTTTACGGCAAGCATGGGTTGCCGAAGACCTATTCTAACCCCAGATCTTTACGGACCCGACCGTTAAAGAACCGCATCACACTTATGTATGTGCAATGGTTGGCTGTGCAGAATTGACTCGCTATGACATGACTGTGATGCATTAATCTCAGCCCAACATATTCTGGAAGAGACGAAGTACAACTCATCTCCTGTAAACAGGTAAAGCAATCAGGTATCCCTTCGAATTACACTGCGGTGCATATCGTGGATGTTAGGATCTCAGGATCCTGAGCTCGGTCGCTATAAATGATTTCACTAATACAGATATCAGCAGCTATCAGAAAGGGAGTCCATGAATACTGAGATCGGTGACTGTCGGTAGCGAATCTATGAATACTGAGGTCAGTGACTGTCAGTACTGAATCTATGAATACTGAGGTCAGTGACTGTCAGTACTGAATCCATGAATACTGAGGTCAGTGACTGTCTGTACTGCATCTATGAATACTGAGGTCAGTGACTGTCAGTATTGAACCTATGAATACTGAGATCAGTGACTGTCAGTACTGAATCTATGAATACTGAGATCGGTGACTGTCGGTAGCGAGTCTATGAATACAGAGATCGTTGACTGTCATCAGGAAGTCTATAAATACTGAGATGGGTGAATGTCAGAAGGGAGACTATGAATACTGAGGTCAGTGACTGTCAGTACTGAATCTATGAATACTGAGATCAGTGCCTGTCAGTGGCGAGTCTATGAATACTGAGGTCAGTGACTGTCAGTATTGAATCTATGAATACTGAGATGGGTGAATGTCAGAAGGGAGTCTATGAATACTGAAATCAGTGACTGTCAGTAGTGAATCTATGAATACTGAGGTCAGTGACTGTCAGTAGGGAGTCTATGAATACTGAGGTCTGTGACTTTCAGTACTGAATCCATGAAAACTGAGGTCAGTGACTGCCAGTATTGAATCTGTGAATACTGAGGTCAGTGACTGTCAGTATTGAACCTATGAATACTGAGATCAGTGACTGTCAGTAGGGAGTCTATGAATACTGAGGTCAGTGACTGTCAGTGGCGAGTCTATGCATACTGAGGTCAGTGACTGTCAATACGGGAGTTTCTGAATGCTGAGATCAGTGACTGTCAGTATTGAATCTATGAATACTGAGATCAGTGACTGTCAGTACTGAATCTATGAATATTGAGGTCAGTGACTGTCAGTATTGAATCTTTGAATACTGAGATGGGTGAATGTCAGAAGGGAGTCTATGAATACTGAAATCAGTGACTGTCAGTAGTGAATCTATGAATACTGAGGTCAGTGACTGTCAGTAGGGAGTCTATGAATACTGAGGTCTGTGACTTTCAGTACTGAATCCATGAAAACTGAGGTCAGTGACTGCCAGTATTGAATCTGTGAATACTGAGGTCAGTGACTGTCAGTATTGAACCTATGAATACTGAGATCAGTGACTGTCAGTAGGGAGTCTATGAATACTGAGGTCAGTGACTGTCAGTGGCGAGTCTATGCATACTGAGGTCAGTGACTGTCAATACGGGAGTTTCTGAATGCTGAGATCAGTGACTGTCAGTATTGAATCTATGAATACTGAGATCAGTGACTGTCAGTACTGAATCTATGAATATTGAGGTCAGTGACTGTCAGTATTGAATCTATGAATACTGAGGTCAGTGACTGTCAGTAGGGAGTCTATGAATACTGAGATCAGTGACTGTCAGCAGGGAGTCTATGAATACTGAAGTCAGTGACTGTCAGTGGCGAGTCTATGAATACTGTGATCAGTGACCGTTTCTGCTGAATCAATGAATACTGAGGTCAGTGACTGTCAGTACTGAATCTATGAATACTGAGATCAGTGACTGTCAGTACTGAATCTATGAATATTGAGGTCAGTGACTGTCAGTATTGAATATATGAATACTGAGATCAGTGACTGTCAGCAGGGGGTCTATGAATACTGAAGTCAGTGACTGTCAGTGGCGAGTCTATGAATACTGAGGTCAGTGACCGTTTCTACTGAATCTATGAATACTGAGGTCAGTGACTGTCAGTACTGAATCTATGAATATTGAGGTCAGTGACTGTCAGTATTGAATCTATGAATACTGAGATAAGTGACTGTCAGTAGGGAGTCTATGAATACTGAGATCAGTGATTGGCATCACTCACTCAGTCACTCCAGGAAATACTTACATGAGATAGTTAGAGGCCGGCTTTCATCTCCAACAATATGAACAGTGCTTCCAAAATCTGAAAAGTAAACAATTCCTCTTGAACAACTAAGAGAAGTAACCGATAAATAGAGCTTCACAAATTGGAACTTTTCTATGTGATATTAATCATGAGATATGTTCCGTTATACATGTTTAGCTATCCAGATGTAACCTGGACTCATCTGTAAACAAGTATACTGTCCCAAGCCTGTCTTCTGAACCTCATATGCTGTCTACACCAAGCTAGACCTGCATGACGGTGACGTGGAAACAAAAGTGGGCGTGTCGCTGGACGTCGGGCCGGATGTTGTGCTCCCTCAAACGGTTGCTTTGATTTTCGGCAAACCGTGGGACTGGGCAAGGGTTATTTACGGTAAGATAAAAGTGTTTTTTATGAGCACTTGTTAGCTAACAATCAGTGTGTGCTGTTTGCATTGTGTGAGTATCAGGCTCCCAACAAACACGCAAACATTCAATCGTGCGCCGTGCATCTTAATGTTGAGGGGATGTTCATGAATATCTTTTGAAAAATGCATTATTTAAATTTTGAATAAATTTAATTTTATTGAACTTTATATGAAGAGCAGTTACTATTATTGCTTGTATATAAGCATTCGCGATTTACACGTCCTTTTGCTTAAAACGGCGAAAAACATATCATTGCCATCCGTTTTTATGATAGGATACTGTTCTAATTACATGTTTTGGGTGGGTATTGCGATATTAACATTTAAACTCCACATTTGACATACACGTAAATATATGGTTCAAGGTGCCATATAAAAGATTTATTCAAGGTATACTATGAATAATCTGAATGTACAGCTATATAGAATCTACAAACCTCTTTCCAATGAGGCATTCTCCGCTAGTCGCTGCTCGTCTTCTGCCATCACCTAGAAAACATTGAAGAGTACGTTAGGGCGTTCAGAGCCAGTGACAAGCTTCACAGTGTGACATCGCATACATATTTGTTCGATACAAATACCCTGGCCTTGTTGGGCATCACCTGGTTCTATATCGCATCAACAACTGTCATTATTGCTTTGAATCAGAAATAATGGAATTGATGCGTAGTGGTAACAATATATCGTTTTTTTCGTTATGATCATAAAACTACATCTGCATTTGCATTAATGTCTCATTTATTCAAAAATATTTCAAATAAATGTCAGTATTTCAGCATTGTTCCACTGGACTTCAGACTCCACATTTGTCCTCTTCTCCTTGTTCAATCTTTATTTCACGTACTGAGGAGGCCACAGGCCTATAGTACAATTTGAAGAATAACAAATACAATGAGATAACATACATGCATACATTCTGGGTTTTTAAAAATTAAACTTTACTTGCCATGTTTCTGCCTAGTGTGATACTCTTTCAAGATCTTCATTTAATTGTGCCACTTTTATGTTGGGATCGTCAATAATAATGTACAAGGACTTATCGTCCGTAAATAATCTAATATTGCCATCAATATCAGCAACTAGATTTAAATAGACTAAGATTAGTAATGGCCCTAACACTGATATTGTGGACCGCCAGCACACACAGATTCTAAAGCAGGGGTGTATCCATTGATCACTACACGCTGTACTCTATCCTTCAGGTAACTATTGAACCATTCCAATGACCTACCACTTATCCCATGAGAGTGTAACTTACGTATCAAACCTTCATGCCATTCATTATTAAATGCCTGACTAATGTCACAGAATCCTACTCTTACTTCTTTACCTTGATCCAGAGCTTTTGAAAATACGAGTTTCCGTATAGCACCGTTTGTAAAGTGTAACTATGTTGGTAAAAATACATTTCATTTCGAAGAACATAGTAATTTGTGCACATAAAAAGAAGTGGAAGTAATCTTCGGTATGATATCCACAGGAACTAATTTTAGTATACAAAATATATCTACCACTCTGATCTGCGTTAGGATCGTGAATAATTTGACAAATTAACCTGTTTCCATAATTTCAATCCCAGTGTATACCATTATCTCCCCTTCCGTGTAGCAAATTGAATTGTGTAATGGCGTCCGTCCCCGTTAGGTTTTTTGGTAACATATTCCAAAGTGGTGTTATAGCCGGTATAAATGAATAAGCATTTGTTTTACACTTCACTGTTTGAAGATTAGTTTTGTTTAAGTTATAATCTGTGCTTTAAGAAACTGTATTAGGAATAAGCCTACAAAGATATTCGGCTGAGAGATGATTATTTATTTTGTAAAACATTACCAATTTTGAATTGTATCTTCTGTCTTTTAATGACATACAATTTGTTTCATGGTAAATTTTCTGATGACCCGTACCTTGGACATATGGTTCTAAGAGCATCTAAGTTTATTTTTTTCCAATTAATAAGCTTGTTCATTTGTACAGTATGACAACAATAAAAACAAATGGTAACATAAATGTTTTGTACATAGTTTCTAAGATATTAATAACTTCTTAAACAATTACCCATAGGACACCATATCTATACATACACATAATTTGAAATATACCATGTTCGTCGGAGAGACAATACTCAAGCTATATGACGGCGGTCTGTAAATAATCGAGTCTGGACAAGAACATCAAGTGATTAATATCATGAACATCGATCCACGCAATTGGGATCGATGACATGCAAGAACCAAGTCAGCGAACGTGACCACCCGATCCCGTTAGTCGCCTCTCGTGACAAACTGTCAGTTCAAGAAATACATTTTAAATCTGTGCTAGGATATGTTAAATGTTCTAGAAAGTCGTTTTAAATCTATGCTAGAATATGTTTAACGTACATGTGGCAGTCACACATTTTATGCAATTGTGTCACCTAAACCAGTGTAAGTATGTAATGTAATAAACATTTAGTTATTAGAATTCGTGTGTAGTATGGGTTTTACGGATTTTATTTAAGAGGTGATACTAAGTTGCGCGTGATAAGTCACAGCCCCATTTGTTTAGCCAGGCCAAATATCCCGGTTGATCGACTGCCCCTATTCTCCTCAGGGTTAGCCTTTTCACCCTCACCAGCACCCAAGTCACTGCACTGACAAATCATAGACAGCTGACATCAAGGTGACACATTTTGAAGACATTTCACTTTCAAGGTATTTGATGATGCCGCTAATTAGCTTTGGCTAAGTAGTCTTGGGAGTTTGATATGTAACCTATGCCTATGGACCATCGTCATCGCCTACACCGAGTACACACATCGGTTTTTACTGAGTCATTCAAAAACAGAATTTTATTAACAGAGATGAAAAATACCAGCATATTCCACATTTTAACGAGGCAACAGTTTCACCCTGGAAATACAATGCATGAATTGGAAAACTGTCATAAGATGACATGCATCAAGCTGAGCGTAGACGGGAACATGCCAGTAAGCGAGGTACCAGCAAAACTGGTTTTGTTCATGGGAGACATAAAACGACTGCTTAATCTTTACTTCTTCTATATGACAATAGGAAGACTGAAACGTATTTCATCAAAAATAGGTTCTCAATAACGTGGCTTGTCAACACTTAGCAGTTTAATAAAAATGTCTTTTCAGTTTAGAAACATATCAAATCTCACACTTAAGATTCTGACTTAAACATTCTTGATTGGTTATTAATTTCGATCTCAAATCATGAATTTGAACTTTTTACAGATTTTAAACTGGATTCTTAAAGTTGATTGAAAGAAATATAGCAGCATTTTACCAATCACATTAGAAGAGTAAAGAATAGTATATAACAATGAAATAAAGCATCAGAATATATCACCTACTTTTTAGTCCACAGCGTCAGCTATGCTTGATTTTACCTCTGGCTTTGTGAAAGCATGGAGCCATTCATTGATTTCCATCCGGGTTAGTGACTTGTTTTTGGGATCATATTTGTAAGCCAATGGTCCCAGTGGATCATAAAACATTACACTATTCACGTGTTTTACGAGAATATGAATAATGAACTTTTCCTCACTGCAGGGAATAAAACTAATGTCTACTGTATGTGCATCAGTCACTTTCTTCCCATCAAAGTCACACACAAGAACAGTCTCGAGAATCTTCTGCGTCAACGTATCCTTTAGATTTTCTTGATCATCTATACAAACAGGTTGACTTCGGATTTCTATAGATTCATATCCATATTCCGTTATAAAAACGACTTCCTCTCTGACACCATATAGGTAGGAACCACCATTTTTAAGTTTGCTAAATGCACTTATGTACTCAGTAAGTTTAAGATTCTTAATAATGTTAGTAACTATATCATGATCCCCTTTATTTTGGAGAAAGTGACTTTTCACTTGAATTGATCTGCTTTCGTGTACTCTCAGAGCATCATTTACAGTATGTATTTCTGTAGGTAGTGTGGGAAAGTGTCTTTGAATTCTCCTCTTTTTCTGACAAATGTCCGTAGTGTTTCCGCAGGAATGTCTACAATGCAGTAATCAAGTGCAATCTTTGTTTTGAAGTCAGATGTTGTCAAGATGGAAGAAGCACTAACGTAAAGAGCTATAAAGTCAGGGAAATCAGAAAGCTTCCTGTGTTCACTCAGCTTTTCCTCCCGGTAAACATTAGAAAATAATTGACCATCATGAATCAAGTCTTGAAGTTTTAAATCCACAAATTTATCAAATGCGCCAGTAAAATGATCCTCTGGTGCTAGACCAACAAGATGGATCAGTATATATCCCGAGTTGGAGTTGCGCAAAGCTGACACTTTTTCCGTCAGCTGGTTGAATTTACGATCTCTTTTCTCCTTTTTCTTCTCTTTCTTCTTTTTGCTGTCGTCCTTTCGCCCTACACCATACAGGTACTTAACGTGAATCCCAATAGGCAAGATGATTTTACTGGCAGATGCATACTGGAGGAATTTAGTAACTGCTTCCTCACACCGTGGAACATGGACACTGAAAGTGAAACATACACAGGCTAAGTAAACAAGTAAATAGCAAGAGTGTCAGAACTACAGAACAGTCCCTCGAGCATCTATGTGGTCAGTTCACAATACCGACAATATACATTTTCGTATAGTCATACATTTTTGGAAATCGGTAAAATAACATAACTATACATAATAGACTAAAGTTTCAACAGTGCATATCGTTCACATCAGATGTTTGAAATACTTACGTTAGACACGCTGTGTGAATGATCTGTTTAGGTTTAGATGAATTGATGCAGGATGCTGTATCGTTATCTTCTTTCTTGGCATAAACACGTACAGGGACAAAACCAGTTGGTGTTGTATCTTCTTTAGAATATATTAATCCTTGTTCTTTGACATAGACAGAAACGGATTCATAACCTCTTGGTACGTCGCTTCCCTGTCTAGTATATATGACATTGTCACCATGTACGCACACAGTTACATGTTCATACGCTTCTGGTATATCACCCTCCTGTGCAGGGGGTACATAAAAGACTTCCTCATCCTTGTGATACACAGTTACACGTTGTGTGTTTGATAGTATCTCATCCCCACAGTAATCACATAGTTACATGACATCTGGAAGCCTCAATCAAATGATCAAATGAAAATCACTCTAAACCTTCTGTAAGGCTGCATTTGTCAAACTGCGTAATAGCTAAGGTTGGGTTGTTATGTATACATTTGACTTCAAACATGGATACACATCATGTGATATTCAGCCAATCACTGCATTGAATGCGCGTCTGCCAGTTGAAAAACAACAACACTGTCGTCGCCCCTCACGACAGGTAATAGAGCCCCGGTGACCTATTGAAATCCGGATCCCTACGGAGGCCTAAGTCTAAAATTGCAAGCCATTACCCCCAGTTCGCTCTCTGAAGATCACGCCTTAAACAAATTTGGAAATTTTCAATACTCTTTTTGGATGAATAAGTACTGTATGCAACGAATGTATTTGTAACACATAATATTGAATACATCTGAAACGTAAGCATACAAATCAATAATAAGGATATTCTGTAAAGAGAAGAAGCCCAAAGGCACAAAATCTAAATAACAGTGGCAAACAAAGGGAGTGGGGCTAGGATTTTGCCTTGAGATTAGGTACTTTTTTAGCTTGAGCTGCGAAACCAGATAGTTTTTTATTTAAAACTATGAGCCTGCATATCTTTTACGCAAAACACCTCGCAACAATGTTATTGCTGTGGCAATAAGTTTTTTTTAAGCATAATTATCTTATCATCAATTTTCAGGCACAGTGTATTCTTTTCGATAAGATTACAAACCCCTGGAATAAAAACAGCAAAGATTCTTTACAATCTTGTGAGGTATTAATAGTAATGCTATTTCAAAACTATTGGAGTGATTATTTAATTATTCATTTATGGTTACCTGAAAGTAAACGTGGTTTTCGAGAGTTTCAAGGTAAACGAATCCTCACTTAACCAAATACCTCGTGCATTGATATGATAATCAAATACTGAACACGAAACTGAAGCCAAAGAAAGAAAATAGATATGCTGGATCAATGCATTCCGATCAGCCTCTATACGACACAGAGGTTATTGACCGAGTGTCCCAATCGTAAATGCAACATCTTCGATCATATTGTGTGATGATTGATAACAATCGAATTTTGTGACGTATTTTGTAGCCTTAAGTCATTTTAGGAACCGCGCATGAACACATTGCCTGATTACAACGAACAATGTACTATACAGTGCTAAATGATGTGGAGCCAGGTTTCCAGCACTCTCACATCGGGAAAATCCCTACCTTGTTTTATTGTGAAAGCTATGCACATCGATGTATTGAGGTCATTAAAAGCAGTTCCTGCAATGTGACTTCATTTGCACGTTAATCCTTTTGCGATTAGCAAGTTTATGGGATTAGATTTTGGCATCGATAATATAATTTATTACATGGCAAAAATGTTTATTAACAACTGTTGGATTTATTATCTCTTTTCTTCTTTTCCCTCTTCCCCTCCTCTCGTATTGAAAAACGTTCCCCCCAGGGGAAAAAGCAAGCATAGCAAACTGAGTTTTAAGGTACACACCACTATTCAAGTCTTCATTGCAGTTAAAGGCCACAGACATAGAGGAAAAAATATGTTTGTGTTGTAGATGATTTGTTTGATAATTTCTAAACGTCCTTGCATGAAATATGTTGTTGAGGACAATGATACATTGCTATTTACAGACGACATTAATACAACATTCTTACAGATATTTGGAAAGTGGTACACTGTACATTGTACAGACCATATGTTTATGAATGAATATCAAATATTGATGATACCATGTGTTCTGTGACAAAAATGATGCCTGATGCATTTTCTCATCTTGACTTGTACCATTTGTTCCATATTTATTCATAAACACGTGCTTTTGATATAGTCGGAATCGTATAATAGACTCTGTCCTCAGCGGAAATTATTTATGAGTGTAGAAATGTTTTTGTCTTTTTTTATTGCTTGTCTTTTCTTTAAGGCCACACTCAGCAATTGTCCACTTGTATGATGACACTCTGTCAATGATAGCATCTGGACAAGGTAATGTAATGATTGATATTATGAGGAGTGTCGGGGAAGGATGACACCAAGTCAGCCAAGTCATCAAGTCTGACCACCGGATCATTTTGCATAGCTTGCTAGGGCCCAGGTTAATCAAAAATTCCTAAAGAGTTTCCAAACAATGTACATATTGGCATTGTGTCAATGTACCACAGGAATAATATAGATCAACACGAAGACATCACACTCACCCCACCCCTATGATGTAACTACCCACACGTGGGTCTTCCCTGTGTGACATCTTGAGCCCAGGGTGTTTGCCCGCAGTATATGCTAGTATGTGTAATGATATATTATGTTTGTTGTATCAGATAAAAGAAATACGTGAAAAGTAACCGTGAAAATTAGTTGTCATTTACACACTCATGTTCGACAAAACATTCCATTCGCTCCTTTATTGGTACTCACAAATTAATTGATTTATACTGTTGTGTCATTGTAATATTTTGTTCAACAGTGGTACAATTGAATTCCATTGTATACCATTGTTTCTGCTTAGGTTCAGATGAACGTCATAACATTATGTCGACAAGTAACAATGCTATCATCTCTATTAGCTTTTCGCTATTTAGCCCCAAAACAGATTTCACGCATCAGTGACAAAAATTATGGTCGTTGCATTTCCCTTTCTTGACTTGACCATATCTTCCCGTGTTTTTTTCAGGTGATTAAATGACTTGATTTTGTATGTGTTCGCGACGGGCGGCAACGGAGGAGTAGGATACGCTCACGAGCATACGAACACCTGGTATCATCACTATTTGTAAGTGAATCATACAGTCGGAATTGTACAATCGACTCTGCCTTCAGCAGAGATTACTTGTGGCTATGAAAAAGGGTTTGTCCTTTTACTTTCATGCATGATTAAACAGCATACAAATAACTAATGGCAAGGCGTATGGATATGTGTCCGGGCTAACGCTACTTTGAAAGGTATTTCGGTCACAATCATAGCTGTCGTCTAAATATAGAAGCATTCTACAAGCACGGGCATAGTGCTGAAAGGCCAAGACGCATAACCGAGGCGAGTCTCAACCAATGAGTATAACATTCTGGCACACAAAGGACCTGACACTGCAGAGCAAAGGTGACACACAGAAAGAGAGAAAAATATTTCAATAAAATACTTATTTCTGCGACATCCTATTTCAAAAAGTCAATGTCTTAGTCATAATAATATCAATATTTATGAAGGAGAAACAAAATTTAAACAACATAAAAAATGATCCTCTCAAGTGAAACACACATCATGTGAAATCAACCACACAGCAGCACAAAACAATATACAGTGAAATAGAGACATTTTCCCGAATGGTCGGCCATATAGCTTCACTGTCTTCATTGTGACAAGTTAGGTTTCTGTCAAAGTGTTTATTCAGTATCCAAAGGTCTGGACAGACAGGGATGCATTTTCTTCACCGAGCTCAGGCTGCGCTGATCGCATTTGGTGACTTTCTAATCTCTATTAAGGAACAGGCAGTGGCAAGCTAGGCCTGACGGAAACTGGCCCTTGTTTGGCAGATAGGTTTGATTGATGGTGTAATGGTTGTTCTTGCTTGTTCTCGCAAGATTTGGTGAAACTTTATACGTATATAATTCGATGTTACCCGACTTATAATAATAATCCTTATATGCTCTTCAAAAAAGAAACGCATAGCCAGATGTGTATGAGGTAGGAACATACATTTATACGAGGAACCGTACAAGGTATTGAGCTAAAATGTTGTGGAGAGAACGGTTAGTTATTGTAGTCATCTCAGTTATCGGTACATAGGAAAGGTCCAAGGTGAAGGTCAGCTACTATCTATAACGCTATGTTCCCCGTTGTATGCGAATCACATCCTGGGGAATGGTAGCCCACTCGGCCTGCAACGAAAACACAAACGCCAACTGCTGCAACGTCGGGGGTTGTGGTTGACGTCTATCCAATTCATCCTAAAGGTGCTCTATCGGGTTCAAATCCGGGGATTTGGAGGACCAGGGGAGAACATCAACGTTGTTGTTGTGTAGACAGGCTCTTCTGATCCGTGCTTATGCGGTTGTCCTGCTGGAAAACACCGTTGCCGTTGTCTGCAATTGGGAGGACGTATGGTTGGAGAATTTCGTTGATGTATGTTAATCCGTAAGATTGCCCTGGATATGGACCAAACCTGTCCTGCCATGATGAGAGATTTAAGTCCACATCATAACGCTACCCCCATCAAACCTGTCCACTTCCTGTACGCAGTTTCCGGCTTAACGTTCTCCCCGACGTCTGAAGACCCTTGCTCTTCCATTGCCTCGACGGAGGAGAAATCTTGATTCGTCGCTGAATCAGACATCTCTACATCGCAGTTGAGGCCATACCCTGTCGTTGCAGCCATACACCAATGCAGTTGTTGTTGACGATGTTGTCGACTCAATATGACGCGTGGAACAGGACGTGTTGCTCGTAGACCTGCTGCTTATAAACGGGTTCTTACGGCCTGGTCGGAGATTCTGCTCAGTCGTGTTATTTGGGATGCGGTTGTGGTGGCTGTTGTCGTCCTTTCACATAGGTGGCGCAGTCGGATGTAACGACTTTTGGCGGGGGTGGTTACTCTCGTCCCGACCTTGTTGAAACCGATCCCATAGCCTTGTGATGGTGCTGGGGGCTACATTGAAAACCCTGGGTACAGCTGATCGGGATTCCTCTGCCTGCAAGCGGCCTATGACGTTGTTTCTTTGCATTTCTGTTAATCTTGACATGTTGTTGAACTGTCACTGTTCGACTGACGCAGATGCAAGGCACTCGTAGGCCCTGCACTTAAAAACCGTTCTTAGTGCTGCTGCGCGTGCAGTGCGTGCAGCTCCATGGCTCTTTTGTTAATTCACAGGGTGCGGTTTTTTTCGAATCGTACGTGTTTCCCGACTAATGGTTTGCATGTCCTTGTTGTGATCATTGTGCATATGGCAAAAATATTTCCGTTTACGTTTCATTTTTTGAAAGGGTATACCTTATGTTTATAACGTGTCACGTCAGGAAAGGACAACTATTTGTGACATACATATTATCTCACAATTTATTAATATTTGCACCTCTTTCCTTTCTCACAAGTCAATAGGCTTGAATCCCATTGACTTT